AAGGGGCAGCAGACACAGTGAGTGATGAACTGACTGCAACCCCCATCCCCCTGTGCTATTGTGGGGGCAGGGAGGTAAAGAAAATCATGAGTAGAGTTAAGCCTGGGAAGAAGGGAGGGGTGGGGGAAAGCCATTTTAAAATTTGGATTTATTTCTTATTATCCCACACTAAAGCCATTTTAAAACTTGGATTTATTTCTTATTATCCCACACTGATTTGATTGGTAACAAATTAAATTTCCCCAAACTGAGTCTGATTTTGCCCATGATGGTAATTGGTGAGTGACTTATCTGGACCCAAAAAGCTTTTCATTGTATTCTCTCCCCTGTCCAGCTGAGGAGGGGAGTGACAGCAGCTTGGTGGGCACCTGGTGTCCAATCCCCCACACTGCTCCTTCACTACAGTGAAGTTTCCAGATACAATGAAAGGGGAGTGGGGGTTATGCCATATCTGGGGAAGTGTCAGCTATATCAGGTGCCTCACACATCATATTTTAAACTGAATAGAATCTGGGCTCATCCAACTACCTAACTGGACAGATTCTGACCTCTTCTGACCAATTTAATTCCACATTGAGAATCCATGCTGGATATTTAATGAGCAACTGCTTAGAACTGATTTTATGCACAAAGGACACTAGGAAAAAAAAAACAAAAAAATCCACAGCCAAACCCACACAAACGACTCCCAACCAACAAAAAAAAACCAGCCAAAAACACCACACCAAACCACGTTCCTGGTTCTGCCAAGCTTCTTGCAATCCTTGCCAATGATTCTCCCTTCTCCTGCCCTCCACTAGCCTGATCTGATGACCCAAATTAAAGTATCTTCCAAAACTGTGTGTCACATTAAACAGCCCATTCTCTAGAGAGATTTAGGAAACACAGGACAAATTCCTGCACCACGCTTTCAACACTATTTATCATTCTATTAAAAATGAAGTTCAGACTTTGTGTTGTTTAGATTGGCTGAATGACCAGATGATATAAAGCAAGTCCAGGGTCAGATAGCAATTCTGAGTCAGTCTCACTTCCCATGAATGAGCAAAGTACACATCCATAACACACACACTACAGGGCACTAAAAACCCTGTTTGTGCTAACCCCTGCTTTTGGCCTAAGGGCTCATACTTTTCCACTTCCCTTTTCTTTTGCAGTAAGGCTGAATTAATATTTCATTTATTGTCAGGCAGCTGTGGCAGCTCTAGGTGAATAAGCCACTTGAGTGCCATTTCTGGAGCCATTTACTCTTTAGTTAACCCAGATTCCCAATCCATCGTGGACCGTTTCAGAGCGAAGGACAAGTGCTCGTTATTTTATATGAAAGTCATTTAATTTTTACCATGCATGCACACAGCCACGCTCACTTGATCACCGACCTACTTTGCTGCTGTTAATTCCTAGAAGAAAGCACGTGCTGCATGTTTAAATGAAGGCCCTGTCCATATTTATTACAACAGCAGGCCACAATAGGCTCTAAAACGCTTAGACCTAAATACGCCACCACGCATTAAGGAGACAAAGCAAGGAGAACAGGCAGCTTTTAGAACTGGGTTCAGATTTTCTCCAAACCTACAGAGGACAACCAGAAAAATCCATTGGAAGGGCCAAGTGCTGAAGAGCAGAAGTTAAAAGGGAGAGCTCAGCAAAGGATACTGGAGGCCACAGGCGCCGGCGCTGGTGCGGTAGCCGCCCAGCCGCTGGCCGCTCTCGGAACAGTGCCACGTGAAGTGCTTGTCTTGTCCAGTGCTTAACACCCACTCCATCTCCAGCACAAACAGAATCATCATCACCCTGCTTTGATGAGCTGAAAATGAAGCAGACAGACACATCATCTCATAGCAGAAAAGAGCATGGGGGCAGGGGGGGGTAGAAGAGCACTGTAAATCCCGCCTGCACCCAACTCCAGGGCTCACGAGTTGACAGGAGCCACCACTCAGGCTTCTAAAGGTCCCTGCTCTGCATGTTCACTCTTTGCATGAGAAAGAATGAAAGAAATGCTTCATTTCTTCCATGCCTATTGCAGCCATTTATCTTCTACAGCAGCACAAGTCCTCCTTCTGTCACTGCATCATCACCAACAAAGCTGCCGTCGTGGGAAGGACTCAGGGCTCTACTTAAACCTCTTCTGAGCTCCTTGTGTGACAGCAGAGAAGCTCACACTGCTCCACACTGCTGCTCCTCCTGCTCTGAGCTCTGGTCAATCTGGGATCTGGATTGTGGTACCCCAGAATGGTAAATTCCAGCACAGGCACAGCCCTGCACCAGAGCAGTTTTAGCACTGCATGCAAACCAGCTAAAAAGGAAATGGGAATAAAATGATGTAAAAAACTATATAAGATCACAGCTGGGCAAGATGAATAAAACCACTGAAGGAATAAATTTCTGCTGCTACCTAAAAAAAAAAGCCAGCAAAAGCTTTTCATTAAAGCAAGGGAACCCAGGCTTGTACAGACAGATTTTTGTATGAATGACCAGTGGGCTTGGTAGTGAATTGCTGATTGAGCCAACTTTTTAATAAAATGAGAGGAAAGACATGCAGAATTGTTCCCAGCTGTAATGCTGCAGCAAATGCCATGCTCCCCAATCCACAGCCCCACTGGCTTCTTACTGCTCTGAGACCTAGCAACATGTGTTGCACAAAGCAGGTTTCTTGTATCTGCTTGTGCAGAAGCTGACAAACTGGAGAGATTGAGTATCTTTGGATGGTTAAAAACCAGCTCGAAATTTCCATCTGCAATGTGGAGAAATTCCTGGGAACAGTATGGGAAGGTGGCAGCCTGCCCTGTACAACTACACAGCACAGATGAGAGCTGTCACCTTCACCCACAGGAGAGCTCAGGTTTTTGGCACATGTTTCTATATGCTTTGAAACTCCAGGTTTGTAACCAGGAGATAGAGGGATAGGGACCACCCAAGAGCCAGCTCTTCTAAACTCCTTTAAGCCCTCTTAAACAGATCCTCTCTTCTCTTCACCCTCCAGATTTCTTCTCTGGGAAGGAACTCAATGAGCTGTGCATGACCAGAGCTTGTCTCTCCCTACCTGCTGGGCTCCCTTGGCAGCACCTGCACCAGCTGGTGGAGTGGTGCACTGCAGAAAGGACCATGCTGCATGTGTCCACCAGCAGTGGATGGTTTTTCAGCAGCTGGCAGCTGCTACTGCTAGTGTTGGCTTCCCATGGTTTGAACTGGCTGTGGGGGTAGCTGGCACCAACCAACACTCCTAAATCTCTTCCTAAAACTTCTTCTAAAGGCAGGGCTTGTACCTTTTGCTAGAAGTTCTGCCTGTGGATGGTGAGGCAGCTCTCACAAGTAGACACTAACACAAAGTGTACATGCCAATGAGGTGGAAGGTGTGTCCATGATAGCTTTGCTTATCCTCCCTCCCACAGAAGAGCTTTCAATTCATCATTCTGTTGCCCATCTGAGAGTGGTGAGACCCTGGGATGGGTTGCCCAGGGAGGGGGTTGAGGCCCCATCCCTGGGGGTCTTTAAGGCCAGGCTGGAGGAGGCTCTGGGCCGCCTGATCTAGTGGGAGGGGTCCCTGCTCATGGCAGGGGGGTTGGAACTGGGGGGTCCCTTGGGGCCC